GAGCCTGATCCAATTCTCGCCCCTTCAATGGCTAATTAATGGCATCCTCCTCCATCCCCATCAATCGCCGCCTCCAATCTCGCCCCTTCCTCGCAAAGGAACCGCCCCCATCTCTCCGACCAGTAACCCTAATTCCCATGTTCGATCTTAACGAGCTCTAACCGTGTCTTCTTTTCCTCAAATCAAAACCCTAATTCCCATCGATGATCTTTAACAAACCCTAACTCTGCCTTCTCTTCCCCAAATCAAAACCCTAACCCTAGCCCTGTCTCCTCTTCTTCGATAAGCCCCCCCCCCAACCCAACTATCTTTAGTAAATATTTGATCAATTTACCACACAATTGATTGACTCCACTTATTGAACTTTAACATTTTAACTTCCCTAGCCCTAGAACCCACTCTTACTATTTATATGGGTATCATTTGTAAATAAAAATTTATATAAGTAATATTTCAATAAGTTCAATTAATAAGACTACCGAATCGAACAGTTAATGAACTTTCGAACATAGATTTGGTTAAATTCTATTAAAAAGTTATCGAATCGAATAGTTAACGAACTACCGAATCAAACATACATTTGGTTAAATTCTATTTATTTATAAGCCAAACACTGAAAATTATTTGTTTAGTACTAAATGAACTATTGAATCAAACTTGATCGAATATCTGAACGAATAATAAAAAAAAATAGCACACCTATTCTTTATATTTAAAGCAGAATACTTTATTTTGGTAACTGTTCAATATTTGCAGAAAATCTTTTAAAAACCGAGTACTAGTGTATTTTAATTTTACCCTTCAAATAGTTATAGTTGTTCATTTGCTTTCTAAATTATCGTTTTCCCTCAAATTTGCTCTTAACTTAACTATTATTACAATTTTAATAGTTACTTTTTTTAAGATATAACGGCAAGTGTTGGAAGTTTAGGGAAAAAGAAAAGAAAAGCCCATTTAAGAAATGGTTATATGACCAGCCTCGTCTGTAATTTTCATGGCAAGCAAAGCATATGAGGGCCCGCGATGGACAAGCCCAATGCGAATTGTAACAAAGGGAACTACGTAGAGAATGGGCCTAATTAGATCCATTCCTAGCAAAGCCCTTAATTTCAGTATCTAACTAAAAGACTAGACTACTTGAACTTAAGTATATCACCTTCTACTAGCTTATAATTTGCCAGGTTAGTTAGTTCAAATTTATTATTATAAATACTAGTATAATGCAAGTGCTTTGCACGTAAATGTACATGTTTTAAGTTTTAATAGTTTTATTGAATAGTAAAATTATGTGCTAATAAATAAAACTGTATAATAAGATTGCTTAAAAAAATATATGAATTAATTATTATTGTGTAGTTATTGTAATTGAATGTTTTCTCATAACGATCGCTCAGTGTTAACTTTTTTTAAATAAGTCCCTAAATCTAAAATTGTTCTTAAATAAAATTGTTAATTCTATAATTTTTCTTAAGTATGCCTCTCCAACTTGAAAGTTGTTAACTTAACTCTAAATTAACTAAGCTGTATTAATCATTCTAGCTTTTTCCTAATGTTCCTTTAGATACCTACAATATATTGTAATAGTTACTTCTCATTGTAATTATTTAATAGGGTAAATTACACTAAACCTATATGAACTTTCAGCCCATATGAACTTTAAAATTTACACAAAACCCCTAATGACATTTCTGTTTCAAAGAAGACCCCAATAACTTTCTAAATTTTGCAGATAACCCCTATAAATTAGAACGAATGGCATAAAAAGGCATATTAAAAGTTATTAGGTGTTTGATATAATTTATCTAAAATATATTAGGGGCTTTCTATAAAAGTTATTAGGGATTTAGTGTGATTTTGAAAGTTCATAGGGTCTATTTACTATAAAATACTAAAAGTTCACAGTGATTTACTAAAATTTACCTTTGAATTTATCAAAATTTGAGAGGGCAAAAAAGACATACGGGTTTACTGTAATTTACCTTATTTAATATTATAATTCTTAGTCCAAGTAATACTATTAAAATAATTATAGTATCTATATAATATAAAATATTTATCTAATTTAATTTTTAAAATTATGGTCTTAAATAATTTAGTACTATAAATAGTCTATAAATTTTCACTATAATATCATTAACATATATAGCACTATTATTAATATTAAATAAAAAGGTTAGTTTTTAGTCATTACCAAGTATAGATTATTCAGTATCATGTGATAATCTTTGAAAAAAAATACTCTTAGAATTATATTAAATTATTTATTAAATAATATAATACTAAATAAATAGTGTAATTCGAAATTTATGTGATATTATTAAAATAATTACACTATCTATGAGGTTCAATATTTCTTCTATTTTTTATTGCTCATTGAATTATACTATAATACTTAATAGTATTTAGTAATATATTATTCTATTTTATACTATTATTTTAATTATTTTATTAAATTAATAAATAATTATTATAATAATTTAATTGGTTACTACCAATAATCTGTATACTTATTTTATAAATTATTTTATTTTATTATTTTTAAATAATTAATA